GGAAGGAAGGAAGGAAGGAAGGAAGAAAATAAGGAGGGAGGAGGGCTGGATGGAGAGAGGGATGAAGGAAAGAAATTAAGGAGCGAAAGAAGGAAGGGGAAGGGGAAATGCAAAGTTCAAATTTATAGATCATTTGATAAGTTTTTAGATCATCTGGAGTGTATGCATTTAGTGAACACATATTGTGAGATTAGTAATGTAATATTAACTAGCCAGTTGCACATGGTCAAAACTAAGCAGAAATCTATTCATTTGGTGGTGCCTCCTCTGGCACCTTATCCCACCTTCTGGTAGCCATATAGTCACTTGCTTTCCTCAGTTTTTGAATGCAGCTCATTTCCAAATCTTTGGTATTTCAGTGAGAACTCATTTCTAGGATACAAAGGAGATTTCCTGCCTTCTGTGCACTTAAATAAACTTTCCAATCTCTTCACCATCAAGGCCAAAGATGTAACTTTGCATCTGAGAGAAATGAATGTGGCCTTAGGCTAGGGAGGGGGTTCCTGGGTCCACAAAAGCAGTCTCTGCATTGAAAGGCTATATTTCCAGCACTGTCTCTGTCCTCAGTGGCAGGTTCTGAATAAGGCGAAGAATCACATTCAGGAACTGGAACAAACCCTGGACAACTTGCTGAAACTGAAAGGTAACAGATCCCTCCCTGGAGAAGGCTGGCTCCATTTTTCTATTGAAAACAGAGAGAGATTGGGTCACATTGAGTCAATAGATATTTATTGAGGGTCACTGTGTGCCAGGCACTGTGCTTGGTTATCACTAAGGTTGATGTCCAAGTCCCTAGGGAGCTTGCAGTGTGGCCGGACAGGCAGGGGTCACCAGACTGTGGGGGTTTGATGAATCCCCTAATGGGGTGCTGCTGAGAGCACCTGACCTCACCTTGAGAGGTCAGAGAAGTGGTCAGTACTTGTACTGAGCTGCCCTCTTGCACCCAGAAAGGGAGGTGGAAAATGGCCTCTGGACTCCCTAGTACTGAGCCTGGGAGGGTTCAGAGCTCCACCATGGAGCAGAAAGGCAGGAGAGACTTAATGCAGGTCTGACTTTCTCCTTTGTGACTCTTGCCTCAACTTCCTAATAGAATCCTTCAATCTGGAGGATAGGAATGCAAGCAGCTTAGAGGAAGTCAAGGAAGAATATGCCAGAATGTTCTCTGGAAATGACAGATAAGAACCAGTGACCACAGGAGAACGAGAACCTGCTGTCTTGCCCCTTTGGCCTTGGAGGCTGCCTCCCAGTAGTCCACCCTCCCTCTATGTGCAAGATGGTCAGGGCTGCTGCTCACTCACAGCTGTCTGTCCTGGGTTCTCCTTTATCTTAGGTGCATGCATCAATTTATTTTTATAATTATAAAAATGATTATTACAGAAAATGATTACTATAGAAAGTGATTATTACAGAAAATATAAAAAAATACAGGAAAACCTGAGAATATGTATCAATTCACCTTTCAGAGAAAATATTGATTTTGAGGAATATTCATCCATCTATTTTTCAAATTTTACATGTTATTTTTAGAGTGATGACATCGTCATGTTTATCTTATATAGTGTATTACTACATCTCATATCTTATATATATTTCTTAAAATCCTCAGTTAATAGCGTTATTGGAAAGTACATATGAAAATAGGGAAAATACAAATCTTGGCCTATTTTACAAGTCTCTTAGGAACCTAGGAAAAAGCACATTATACTTGAAAGAGGTAAATAACCATCGTACACATAGGTGTCACAGATGCTGAACGGGGAATGTTATTAATAATGCCACATTTAAATTGTGAAAGACTGATTTGAGAAATGTCTTTCTTGTACTTTTTTATATTTAACTCATGCAGTTTCTGGGCTTTTCATGCATGCTGTGTGGATATATGCTCAGCACTCAAAGGATGACCTAACCCTTGCGTTCACCTGCAGCTTGCAAAGCTGCTTTGACTACAACCTGGACTTTAGGGGCAATGGCTGGGCCCCTGTCATCTCTGGTAGCTCTGGGCATGTTCAGCTCTAATAGCATGGTGTACATCCAAGTTGCCCTCTGACAAAACAGAGCTCAAGCCATCTTTTCCCCCTCCCAGAAGGGGGCTGCGAACTACTTGCTATTCAGAGTAAAAAGTCCTCCTGGATGAAGCGATGTGGCTTCTAGTGTTTGATGGTGTGATCACGCATGACTTTTACTGTCTTCTCAGTATTTTTTGGTGTTTTCCAAATGTTTAAACAGTGAATGTGTATTATTTCTGATGTCAAATAATCAGGGGAAACAATTATTAAAAATGAAATAAAATTCACATTGTAAATGATGTGAAAATATACAAAAATGTGTCAAGAGGAAAATAACTGCCTATGTTTAATCTTATTTCATAGACAACTTGATCACCATTTTGTTCCCAGATGGGAGGCAGGTGTGGT